TTCATCCACATCCAGCGCGAGCTACGGCTGCGCGGCGTCTTCCTGCGCCACGAGTTCCCGCGCGTCTATGAGCAGCTGTGCGAGTTTGTCGAGGCCAACCGGCGCTTCACGCCCACCACCATCTACCCCACGGACCGGCGCACCGGCCGCCCTTTCATGTGCATGATCATGGCCGCCTCTGAGCCGCGAGCGCTCGACTGGGTGGCCAGTGCCAACCTGCTGGACGACATCATGTGAGCCGCAGGCCCCAGGCAGGCTCGCTCCAACCTTGCCCTTGCTTCTCCTTCGACCACCCACCCCACCCCGCATTCCAAACCCCACCCGTCCCGCACCTCTGGCTCCGCCAGGTCCCCAGTCCCCTTCCCCTCCCCGACCCCTCCCAGCACATCCCCACCACCCCTCTCCCGAGGCCTTTCTCCCAGGCCCGCCGGCCCCGCCTCCTGGAGACTCTCCGCCTCCAGTCTCCCTCTTGTCCCCAGAGGCCGGTCCTCGCCCTCGGTGCTCCCCGCTGGGAGGTGGGGTGGGCCTGAGGACCGCCGGGCTCTGCCTTCACGCGGAGGGTCACCGCCAAGACCCTAGCGCAAATTCGATTCCCGTCTGTTGCGTCGCAGGACGCCGCCATTGCCTCCGAAACCTGGGATCCTCCAGCCCCAGGTGGAGGAACCCGTGCTGACCAAAGCCTAGCGTCACTTTAAGCACGTTTGAGCGTGCTGTCGGGGTGCGTCCTGCTCCGAGGCCTTCCTCCCGGAAAGCAGAGAGCGATCTGGGTAGCCTGTTTACTCCAAGTGCCCAGAGAGAATCCGCCGCAGGGTGACTGGGACACTCGAAGGTCTCTAGCTACACGGGGGCCCGGCAGGGGAAGCAGGGCTCATGGATTGGGGATGCGGACCAGAGCCAAGCTCCATATGGGTGAGGGCATGAGCACCTACCCACCCCCACCAAGGCGGCCCTCGGCGAATGCCAGGGCTAAATAGGACCCTGTGCCCACGCAGGCCCACTTTTCCGAGGGGCCTAGAAGCCTTGCGGAGGGACCCACGCGGGTGAAGCACAGAGGTCCTTCAGGCAGCGGAATGCCCCGCTGGCCAAGGACGACCCAGGAGCGGGAGTGGGAGCAACAGGCGGGCAGGTGCCAGCTGCTCGGGGGCCCAGGGCCACCCGGAGCATGTGAGCTGCCCGCCATAGCCTTCGCTGAGCCCCAGCCTCCGAGATCTCGCTGTAGCTGCGCCCTGGTTGCGAGGTGAGGAGTGAGGCTGCTGAGCTGTTGCGAGCGCACGCTGAGGGGAAGTGTGTCCACCTCCGGGGACCCATGGAGGACCCGCGACGGGGAGAGGGGCGAGGCCAGGCGCTGCGGAAGGGTTCCCCGGAAGCCCCAGCCACTTTCGACCCCGAGGAGAGGCATCGAGTGGAGAAGCTGTGGTCCTGCTCCGTCTTGCTCCACCTGCACCCACCCGACCCCGCGAGTTTGCACACGCAGCGGCACTCCGCTTGCGGCCCTCGCTGCGCGCCCCGAGCACCGACCTTCAGCTCTAGGCCGCCCCTGAGGTCCGGCAGGATCGCCTGGGACCGAGGTCACTGCCTGGGCGCGAGCACTTTCCAAAATAGTAAAATAGAACTTGAATGTAACAGTGTTTGTCTCTTTGTTAGGGGATCGGGGATCAGGGACGGAGACCTCGGACGGGGATAGGGAGGAAGGCTCGGGGTCATAGGGGACGGAGGCTTGGGGCTCTGCTGTCATGGAGATGGGAGACAGAGGTCCTGGGACGGGGGTGGTGTCGGTGATCGAGGCCTCGGACGGGCCCCTTAGGACCTCCTCCCCTGTGCCTATCGCGGGCCTCCTGAGCGCCCGTTCCAGCCGTGCCACTCAACCACAGAGGAAAGGAACTTTTCAGTAGGAGGAGTTTAATCACCTCCCCACCCCAGTCCACGGTCCCTTTAAGTAGAAGGGAGTAGCCCCAAAGCTTCAAGGAACTGGATTACGATTGGCCAGGCCGCGTCTCGAGAGGGCGATGCGATTGGCGAAGGCTCCGGGCCTCGGCAGCATCGGCTC